CCTTCAGCTTGTCAGCTTGAATCCTTTCCATCTAAACTGGTTATAACTCTTAAGTCTAGTAGTGAATGTTTTATGAGCAGTAGGATAACCATATTCATCCGCACAGTCACGCAGAGCAGAATCACAACCAAAGCAATGTTCTTCTGCAAAATGCATGCAGTTAAATTTAAAAGTTACTTACCTTTAATTAACTGAAAAATTAAACTAAAAACTTAAGAATTGAATTATAAACCTCTTTCATGTACCAAAGATTACTTAACCCCAATTGTGTGTGATGATTTAGTACAGTCACTCTGGATAGTCTCTGAAATGACTTTGAAATAACTACATGTTTACTGTAAAAGCAAGGATCAGCCAATGTTTTTTCATCATGGGTCACTTTGTGAATTATTGTTTGTTGTACAAAGCAATTGCATTACTGTGACTTATGTTCATGGGAGACTGCAAAGGTAACTAAAACACATCATTTCCTGTCCTGTGTGACGTCAAAAGACAGAGTAGAGCTCGGCAATGATGCCGAGTGCAGAAATCATTGCTCATTCCCTGCCCTATATAGTGGGTATCATGGCTCAACTTTGTTTTTCTTTTGTCACACTTTCCACACTCTCTCTCTTTCTTGTAACTCTACTTTATGGATATCTTGTGATCAGTTCTGAGAAACGCTTGGCCAATCCAAGAAACATCGTATGCTTCCCCAGAATCAACACTAGACCTGAACTCAAAGCCAAATTGTCTCTGGAATTTTTAGCTGGTTTTATTAATTATTTCCTGTTCTGATCAGTTTAGTGTGTTGATTCAGAAGAAAGGTATTCTTTGTGTAGGAGGTGAAAACTGTTTTCGTTTGCACAGCTGAACAACGCTTTTGCATGTAAGCACTTACACTGGCATGCTTCAAAACAATTTAAATATTGGTCCAGAGATGTTCTCTGAATTTCTTAACAGAATGAAGTGCTTTCAATTTCTGTATATTTATATTCGCATATAGGCTAACTTAAAAATGTATGTTTTTGGAACTTCCAATTGTTTATTTTTTTCTATCAAGTTTTTACAGTTTTAGCTATTCTTTCTTTGAAATAGGGTTGTCACGATACTATAAATAGGGATGCCATGTCTAGCGATAGCCTACCATTAAAGTATCATGATACCACACAGTATTGTGGTATCGTTCATATTTTGGATGTCATTATAGCATTATATGTTCTGTTATATTTTTTCTAATGTTCTGTTATAAAATTATAAATATCTTCATCGTAAATATTTAAACATTAAGGCCTGTTGTATAAAAATATTACAAATCCAAATGTGTTTTCACAAAAGCAGTATTTTTGATTGTTAATATGAGAAGTTTGTGTACCACACTTCTACATACAGGTATACTGTGATATGCATCTTAGAATACAATAAAAAATACTAAAGTTTATAAATTATTACCATATGGTACTATTTATAGTATTTACTATGGTAATCATTCCATAATATTGCCATGACTGCACTGCACTGCCAGGTAAAGTCTTTCCTCTTCACATCATCTGCTGAGTTATATAGGCCGCCTATACAATAATGGGTAACGCTTCCTTTTACAGTCCTGTTACCCATGTACTCACTATGTACTTATTATAGTAATTATAATTACTGGGTAATAACTAGGTACTAACCCTGAACCTACCCCTAAACCTACCCCTAACCCATGTACTTACCTTATATTAGCCAGTACTTTCTAGGTAAGTACACTGTAAGTACACATAAGTACTGTACTGTAAAAGGAAGCGTTACCCAATAATGTTTTGTGTGTAAAGTTTGAATGACACAAGGATTTATGGCAGCATTCCTGAACATTCTGTGTTCCTCTCACTATCAGTCTCTGGAGACCTAGAGAAAACTCCAGCTCCAGGAATAGAAACACACATATGCATAGCCTACCCCCAAAACTACAAAAATAGCACGCACTACAGGAATAGACACATTTCCTCTGTGGCCTTGTTCGCTGGATTCCAGTAACTTTGGCTGTGCATGAAGAATCACGCGGCCATGGCGAATGGCGGAAACCAGGTATCAAGTTTAATGTAATTAGTGCAACACAGAGCAGATGTGGAGCAACTTCTGGATAACTGTCATGCTAATGCTAAAACAGAGTCTAAAATGCTAAAAGCACAAGCAGCTGGACATTTTGGCGGAACCTCCAGTGATTTACTGTGTGCTGCACTGCTGCTGGATGTAGCATTAAATAATACATGTTGGGTGAAGACATTTCCCAGCAGTACATTCACATTCCAGCATTTGTCCACTCATACTACATATATTCATCTTCTACCCATTTCTTCTGTGGAAAGAGAAAGTTACTCAGTCTCAGTTATGGGAACCCAGCTTACACGTTTCTGAAGAAAATGAAACTATAGGCCTACTTTTTGGACCTTTCTATAAGGTTGATAAGGTGTTGCTATCTATCTATCTATCTATCTATCTATCTATCTATCTATCTGTCCGTCCGTCCGTCCATCTATCTGGTCTGTCTGTCTATCTGAACATTTTGAGTTTAATTCAAACAGCAATATTTAGATTTTCCCCCTACATATTCTCCTTTCCATTTGTTCAGCGTCCATCGCTATACTAAACCACACAACGAACAGAAATGACAGCATAGTGGTTGGCCCTGACTGTCAATAACATGTTATGTTCTTATATTGTTCATTTGATAGATCAGATTTAAAAAAAATCCAATGATGACAGATTCAATTATTTTGAAGCAAAGCATGAATGTTGATGCATATTATCCAATTTTAACTCTTCAATGCATGTTGTTCTCCAAACTGCTGCAAAGCTCAGTCACAGAGTGTTCAGCATTGAGAACTCTCTTGCAAGATCTGTCCATTACAGCAACCTGACCACCCACAGTTGGGCCGTCCTGTGACTCACAACACCAACACCTGACTGCTCAATACTCTAGATCAATGTTTCTGAACAATGTTCCTGTATAGGAACTAACACTGCATCTTTTCTACTGATCATTAAGGGTGAATTGTCTGTGTAAAACAGTGGAAACATTCAAAATTTTCTGCTGCTCTGGAACGATGTTGAAAAACACTGCACTAGACAACAGCAGCGCTGTGAACAACAAGAGAAGAGATAGGGCTTTTTTTTTTTTTTTAAGTGGGGTCTACGGAGCCCTGAGCGTTCATCTGAAATAGCTGGAGGGTCTGTAGAAAGTTTTTGATCAATGCTGTGGACAAAAATCTCTGCCACACCATAGCTAGTAAAATGAAATAACTGCTCACTTGTTCAGATTGCTTTTCGGGAGTGTTTTCTCCATAGAAAAAGACATCTTCATTTAAGAGTTTTAAACTTTAAACCACCAAACCAATGTGAATCATAACATTACAACATTTGATTCCAAGCAAAAATGCCCAATAAATAGGAGAAATTTTAATTTAAATCAAGGATCCCCCAACAACTAATTTAACTAGTACAATTGTCTTAGTCAACTAGCTTTAGATTGCTTTTTGTTTCAGTGAGCAAACTGCCACTAACCGGAGTAAGACCAGCAGGAAATTCATGCTAATTTAATATTTATTAAAATAATATTACAAATATTACTTGATGCTCGATACATCCTGACACCCACAGTATGTATTTGAATCAGGATCTGGTCACTGAGTGGGTGTGACATTTTTTTTTTTACTTAGTTCGGTGAGTTCCTCAACAAAGTGTATCCCTTGGGGACTAGCTTCTTGTTTTAAAAACTACAAATCCATAGTGAATTGTAACACACTGATCACATGGTGACTGTGGTGGAAAGTATTACAATGAAAAATATTTGTAGTTCATGTGTGTGTGAGATGGGTTTGTGTTGTGCTTGAGATGTCAGCGGGGGTGTTGTCCCCCCTCACTGGGAGAACCAGGGAAGGAAAGGCTGAGGTGATTCACACATGAGTCAACAACTATCAGCTATATAAGCCTGACCCCTCATGGAGCCTGGGCATCATACAATCCTCAGATCTCAAAGGTAAGTTCCCTTCTCTCTCTCTCTCTCTCTACTCATCACTACTCTCACACTATCTGCGGCTCTGACACTCCAATGAGCATTCTCGCTTATATGTGATCTAACGTATTTTTAGTTATTTATATTATGGAGAAACTAAGTTTAATATTCCACACAGGGAATTAAAAAAAAAAAATTGAGTGCTTTTGGAATGAAGCGATTATTGTTTATACAAGGGCAACCTGTTATTTAGGGAATTTACTAGTTATTGAAATCCAAATGTAGGCACAGAGGATGTCGTTTTGTTCATTTAGAAGTGAGATTGAACATAGCTGAACGCTTAACTGCTTGATGTTGCAGACTGGAGAGGCCTGGGGTTCACTAACATGCTGAAGACTGCAGGCACCATCACATTAGAGTTCCCTTAGAAGTATTTTCATGTGCAAGGAACCCACTTTTTAATGTTGTATTTTTGTTGGAAAAACTGTTCTTAATTTGAATTAGCATTATGACTTAAAAGGATCTGATATCGGAGATTAAATGGCATGTACATCAACTGAAGATCAACTGAATTGCAAGATTGTGCAATGATTAGACACAGCTTTAAAGCTTTACAAATTTTATATAGAAAATACCCTTTGTTAATTGAATTTACTATAACTGATTACTTAATGCAGTTTGGGAGAACGTAAATATGGAAGAATAAAGCATTTGTGCCAATGAATTGCAGAAATGCAGATATAGTCTAAATTACACCTTCTTTCTGTAGGGGCTAGTTATAAGGAAATCCATGTTATATAGGATAAATGTATCATGGTTTACACACAAATATTAAGTAGAGATTCAGCTTTGCCTAAAATACGTTTTTTTTTTACTGCATTCCTGATCAAATAAATGCAGCTATGGTGAGCATAGGCCATTTAAACAATTATATTTAAAAGATTTTAGAAGACATTCAGAATAATGTATATTTTATTTCAGCAGGTATTGCACTACTGTCAAAAAGAAGAAGAAAAAAGACACCACAAACACAGGAAGCATGTATTTTCCAGCACTTCTCTACACCTGCATTTTGAGCATGCTCTTTCTGATTGATGGCATTCCCATTCATCCGGATAGCCTCAAAAACTTGGTCAGACTGCAAGCAGACACCATCATCCACAAAATTAAGGAACACAATGAGAAGGTAATGGGTTATAACTAAGTGAACTTGTTGCATGGCTTCTGTTCTGTTAAAGGTTAACAGGTGAAACTCATTGAGATCTGGTCATGCTCATTTGTCTTCTCTCACAGTTACAACTGTATCCAAATCTCCACATTGGGAATTCAGAGCTTGATGTTCTTGCTGATAAACCTATCCAAGGGCTTGGGTCCATCGTGGACACCGTAACTACCATCCAGAAGGTTCTTCAAAGGCTGCCCAAAGGGCATGTGAGCCAGTTACGCAGTTATGTGTCCACCCTTTTGGGTTACTTTAATGAAAGGATGACATTTATGCATTGCACACCCAAGGAACCAGCCAATGGGAGGTCACTGGATGCATTCTTAGAGGAAAACGCCACCCGCCACCACATTACTCTTGGGTACATCACTTTAGACATACTGAAACAGTTCCTGCAAAAGCTGATAGATAACCTGGACCAGTTGAAGAACTGCTAATCTGCCACTATTATAGCATTATAGTACACTATTTATTATATTTATTTAAAACCCTGTATATTTATAGACCAAAGCAGCATTTTTGGCACAATTTAATGTACAAACAGATTTAAAAATTATTCCTTGCTATAAAATGTAAAGCTAGAAATGTTGCTTGCGACATCATGATGCGCCAAACAATCTGTCCTTACGACGTAAACAAACATTAGCAATCTGATACCTGCACACATTGCCATGTCATACTTCATGCTGTTTGCAGGATGACATCAGCACTTGCTGAGCTTGCTCAATGATGTCACTGTTTACCAGAAGCGAGGTCAGACTCTGCTGGGAAGCTGGAATTATGTTCCCATTTTACTTCTTGCTGCAACACCAGCAATGTAGGACACACACCAAAATAAAATAAAAATTGTCCTACAAGGTATGAATCTATGCACTTTTGATATCCTGTGATTGTTAATAGTTTTCTATTTTGTGTAATGATGCATTTTTTCCAATAAAATTTTTTTACCAGTAAAATAAATTGATTGTATACTTTTATTGTAGCTATGTTTATGCCAATGCAGCTTGCATATGTTTATTGTGTTATTACATTTTAGATGTGCTTTTATCTAAATGGGACGGCTCATGTAGTAATTTATTTTATTGGTCCTGTTTTCCAATGAATCCCAAAATGGAAAATGCAGCATTGGAATGGTTTTTAAGATAAATCTGTCAACAACAGGCTTTTTTGATCATACAACATATCAATACCTGCAAGTTCATTTAAATCAACAACTACCCTTTTTGACATTATCAGTAAAATATCATATCAATTTCCCTGCCCCCCCCCCCCCCCCCTTTTGTCAAAAATCTATAGCTTTGTTTGTTCAATGAAAAACGTTTTTGGGCGCATTAAATAATGCATCAAATAAGAATAAGAGTTCAATTTAGCAATGTTGTGCGCATCTCATTGGGAGCATCAAATAAGAGTTCAATTTAGCAATTTTGTGCGCATCTCATTTGGTGAGATCATATTGGCCACTAGTAAACCTGTTCTAAACATTTTAGTCATTAAATCAACCAAACTTCTGGTTTCATTTCATTTTATACAGGATTAAAACCAAGCAAGTCAATTATTTTCCAGGCAAGGGTGCATTACATAACTTATTTAACAAGGGACGACAGGAAATGCCTGCTGGCATTTAAATCAAGTACACCTGTTTTCAAAGTTTGAGGAGAGCAGTTAAATAATGACAGATAAACTAAATGTTGGCAAAATCCATATTGACAACAGCTGATGACTCATCCTGTCTACAAAAGCTTTATATTTGTAATGTTTAAAAAACTCTGTGCCGAAAACAGCAGGAAACATTAAAACTTGGCGTGGAAATCTCTTAATAACATTTAGTTCAAGAGACATCCAAACCAATAAGCAAGAAAAACATAGTCTGTTAAATATATTGGAATCATCTCTGAATTATTTTATTTCTTTAGAAGAAATAGTCTTCTGATGCAACCAAATAATATCACGGTGAAAAACATTATTATATATATTTTTTTTTTCGTTTTAAAAACTCAGACAGAGCCAAAGTATTAAATTTAGTCCCCCTCTGAGCAGTTTTAGACATTTTTTTCCCTCACATGTTCAGCTGAACCATTTGCCCTTCTTGACTACAGTCTTAGTGTTTGATTTGCCCATCAGTTTCTTTTTGTACTGGTCCACCAAACTGTCAAAGCGAGCATCCTCTCTGCTCTGGAACTTTCTCTTTGCAGGTTTGCCATTCTGAAACAGAATAAATAGACATAAGAATTGTTATGAAAAATGATTGATTTTTGTTAATCTTAGGCCGTTTACACGAGAACGCTCGCGGATGAAAAAGTAAAAATATGGCGACAGCGTTTTTGGGGCTTAAAAACGCAAAAAAGTGAAACCACCCTCCAGAGTGGAAATCTTAAAAACGCTCCACCGTCGCGTTCCCGTCTAAAGGGTAAAAACGCAAAAGTCTGCTAGACAGTGAAGGCACAGATCTGGTTGTACGCAGGCGCGCGGACTTGGTGTTGTTGTGTGGCAGTGCTTCACATTGCCACCCAGCCGCCTGGAGTGCATACTACATCGAATTTCACACACTTTTGCGTCACCATATGCACGCAGATTTCCCAACCATAACGCTTGTCTAAACGCAAAATAAAAAGTGATAACGCAACTTTTGCGTTTTCTCTTCAGATCGTTACCGTGTAAACATGGCCTTATTTTGATATCTCATATAATCTATGATCTCTTACCTTTATGTTTGTTTCTTTTGTTCCTCATTGTTTACTAATAATTATTTTGGTATATAATCATATCAATATTAAAGGTACAATATGTAGGATTTTTGCAGTAAAATATCCAAAAACCACTAGGCCAATGTTATATATTTTGTTTAGTTGATTACTAACAATATCCCCAATGTTTCCAACTATTTGTAAATCGTGAGAAAATTGCGATTTTAACCAAAGGAAACAGGACGTGTGAGCAGGGGTGAGGAGTCGCCAGTCAATGGCGTCATATCCGCGTTACCCTCGGTTTCCGCTCGTACTGCCATAGTAACCATGGCGACAGACGTGGACAACTGGGTTATGCCAGAGACTATTTATATAGAGACATGCCACTTCATCAATCCTTATTACAACTATATAGGGAAAACCCGTAACGCCAAAGATGGCGGTTGTATGCACATGTCCCGCCCCTCCCGCTGGAAAGCCAATCGTCTGCTTTTAACAGTCAAGCCGGGAAACATTTAAGCCTATCGTCTGGTTCCACTGACGCATGCGCACAGTTTAGGTTTTGCGACAGCGCAAAATACGTTACTGTTTGAAAAGGCGGCAGATTTGATATGCAGTGTATGTGTGAGTTGTGTAAATATCAGACATCAGAAGTCTCCCGCAGATTGATAGCGGCTCCCTGATGCCCGCAAATTAGTTCAAATCTCCCGGAATCTAGAGCGTGCGAGCAAGAGCGGGCACATACTGTGCTTCAAACTGTGTAGCGCGCGCACGACAGAGGGAAAGAACCCTTGCGCATGCGTAGTAAAAGTATAACCTGTGGGGGAAAAGGCCTTTTAAACCTTATTTTGGGGCAAAGTCATCAAACTTTTTCAGCGATTTTTATCATAATTTACTGCTGTTTCTATACATGCAGTTTTTATGTCCCGGTGACCAGTGAAACTGCAGTTCTGACTCTCTGCCCATTCATTTAGATAGGAGCCTGGTCTTGTTAGTCCGAAATAGCTGCCCGGAGGCGTTGCCAAGATGGCGGCCGAGTGGCATGACTTGACTAAAAGGACTTTGGTTATGCTGAGCAGGACGCTCACGCTGTTGTTGTTTTGTTCAAACAATTTGGACCATGGCAAGCAGACTTTGAGACAAAAAGAGGACTAAAGCGAAGATCAACAACTTTCGAGATGCCGAGAGCTCCACGTCCCCGACTTCGACTTGACAAAGACGTGAGTGTTCCATGTACTTTATTAGACAGGTGAGCAAATGTACATAAAACTAATCAATGTTATTTAGTTCAATATGATGAAATGTTAGAATATGATCTGTATGTTATTCTAATATTGATCTAGCTCACTGCTAGTCTCATATAACCAACAAACAACATGCAACACACTCAAATGCCGTTTAGTGTGATAGTGTAACTGTTAGAGTGTAACTTAGGAAGCGGGTTTCATTGCATACGCCTCCTGGTGAAATGGCAGCAGTAATCCGAGCAAGACGAAGACATAGGCTAAGGAGACGAGCTGAAAAGATTTTTGCCACAAGAATCACACTTTTTCAGTTGAGTGAAAACAAAATCAAAAAGCGTACAGTGTACATCTGTAAATCAAAGCGTTACAGATTAAGCAGCTACGCAATATTAGTTACTGGAAGAAATCAAAGTTGACATCGAATCTCCGACTCAGCGTTCACATTCCATTCCAGCAGTTGTTAAACTCCTCGCTACATTACAATTATTGACATCAGGATCATTTCAAACAGTTATAGCATCAGCAGTGAGAGAACGAGGCCCATTCAATTGCGTGTTTAAATACGCGCAATTTACGGTATAGTGGGTGGGGACAGGCGCTGATTACCTGATGAACTGCAGGTTTGGTACATAACACGCACACTGCGGTTTCCCATCAAGTGCTTTCTGCGTCTTGGCCATGGCGCTATTAACGCTGCGTTCGCAAATGTACATACATCTGGCCCTGAGAGTGTGTGCGCGTGCGCGAGGGAGGGGCTCTTTGCTCGTTCTCTACCTCAGTTAACATGCGCAGCAGTCGACTACACATCACTCATAAATCATAATAACTAGGGATGTCCCGATCCGATCACGCGATCGGAAATCGGGCCCGATCACGTGGTTTCAGACTCGATCGGAATCGGAGGTTACCTCCCGATCAGGACTCGGATATATGTAAATTAGGGGTGTAACGGTACATGTATTCGTAATTATTGAACCGTTTCGGTACGAGGCTTCCGGTTCGGTACGCATACAAACCGAACGATTCCTTGGACCATTTTTCCTGCAGACAAAATCCGCGCTGGCGCGATCCCCACAGCGTTGCGCAACATCAAATGGCAAACGTAATGAAAGCGGAACGAAACTGCGCTTCTCATTATATTGTGCTTAACGGACCATTTATCAGTTCGGACCAGCAACATCTGTGCAGCGCGAGATCAAGCGACACTGTGCTAAGAGATCCAGTGAAGAAAACATTTGAATTCGCCACTGTAATAACATCGCTGCGAGATCTAGTGAGCATTCACATTTCTCCGTTATTAACCGTAGATCTCTATTAGATCAAACAGCGCTGACGTGGGAACCAGGAGAAACATTGTGCCGTGAATGAACATGGATTTAATGTTGCACTTCAAAACTCAAATATTATAAATATATATTTAAATGTTATTTTTAATGTGATTACCAAAACATTATTTGTTCATCCTTCAAAGATTACCCCCATTTATAAACCTGAAAGTTTCAAGATGTAGGAAAACTCAAACTTATTTAAAAATAGTTTTTCTTTTAATAAATAGAAAATTTCTCTGCATTTCTTTCTTTTTGCTGTATCGTGCGTGTCGAACCGAACCGCAAATTTTGTGAACTGTTACACCCCTAATGTATATATTCTCATTTTTTTATACACTTTTAAAACATTTTTATTTTTTGTTTACATGCCTGCCGGGTATTTTAAGTTGAGGTGCTATTTGTTTTTATATTAGACTTTTTCTATATTTATTAAGATTTTATGTTATTTATTACTTGATTTTTCAAGCTACCTCACAGGAGTGCTCTGTTTGTTAACAGAAATGTTGAATGTTAAAATAAGGTGAATTAAATAAAAAATAAGGAACATCCTGGATCTGTTTTTTCTCTCTTCTTTATTATTTTTTTATGTATTATATAAGAATCGGATCGGGACTCGGTATCGGTAGATAGTCAAAATCAAATGACTCGGACTCGAGGGCAAAAAAACCTGATCGGGACATCCCTAATAATAACTGACCAAATAAGGATTTGGCGGGACAAAAAATCGTTTTGGCTGACGGCAAAAAAATTTCAATGAAGGAAATCCCTGTATACCTACATCTCTACTGGGCCAGTAGACAAAATCCTTAGCATTGAGCCCTGCTATATAAAAGGCAACTAAATGTGACATTATAAAGGGGTTTATATGAAGATTGTTTTAAGGTCGCTTAAATCAAAAGTTGTTACATTTAAAATAAACCGTCTTTATGTTGTTTCAACAATAATTTGGAGATTTAATGTGAAATTATTAAAACAAATATATAAATGGTAGGTGAAATTAATTAAAGGAAAATGTGCAATTATCAAATTAATCGATTGACAGCACTTGTTATATACACACATATATATAATATTTCATATATAAAATACACACACAAATTCTCTTTTTAACTCTTTGACTTGCCTGTTTCCCGTTTATGCTGCGTTTCTCAATGAAAGTAGACATATTTCTATCTTTCCTGCTGGGTCCTTTCTTCTGTGTCTTGGGTTGCACCATGGGTTGTTTCCCTTTATCGCGTTGCCTGAGGAAAAGTGCGAGGGTCATTGTACGTAATAGACTTTTCATGATTAATTAAACCGTACTTGTTTCAATTTCACATATGCAGTGAGTTGTACCTGATCTTTGGGCCTCTATGTGAAGGCATATGCAGAACCTTCTGCCGTTTTTTGCCATCCTTCATTTCTACGTGCTCCACCTCTGGTTTGGTCATAAACCCAGAGTACTGGCTATCTTGTGCCTTCCCCTGTTTATCAACATTAGCTGCATTTCCTTTCCGCAAGGGACCTTTCATCTTTCCTGAAGGATGCTGCGGCTGCCCTCCTGTTTGGCTACTGTCCTTTTTGGGTAGCTTCAATGGAAAAAAACACATTTATTTATTTTTGAAATTTAGGGAAAATCTTTCATTAAGATGCAACCAAGCCTCACCTTGCTGTTTTTCAGACGAATGGCTTTAAGTTTCAGCTTCTTGCCATCCTCCAGAGAGAACTCTGCTATGGGTCTCTGATGGGAATGACACAGGAAAACATTCACACTTCATCATTGGTCTTGCTCAATCTTCAGTTATTGCTCAATGCTAAAGCTTTTTCCAATTTATATTAAGTGAAATAGCCATGAGTCTTAGCCACAAGTGTGAGTGAACACAACGATTCATCTTATTTTTGAGAAGTTACATTCAATACAGACCAAAACACATTCCACTGAGAGTCGGAGGAATGCGTGTTTATATGGCGTGTGGAAAGATTGACAGACAGGCAACATGGTTTGATTTGTTCTTGAGTGCGTTCCTTTGTCCTCCTTTGCAAAACACTAAAGGTCCACTGCTGTGAACCTGGCACTGAAGCCCTTAATAACAGGCCCTTAAAGTGTGTTTACACACCAGCAAGCTATAGCTAACATCATCTAACATTGTCCCAAAATACATAGCTGAAATACTTCTAGGAATTAAGACAGTCGCCACAGTGGACTACTTCTCTTTCTAGGAACATTTTGACTTGATAGAACAACAAACAGGTTATCAAATATCCCGCTTTTCTTCCAAAGCTCCCAGCAACCCAAATCAGGCTTTTTGTTGATATTTGAATGACAACAAAAAGTTGTGACGGTCTACCTTTAGGGGTCCAAAGATGTCTGGGTTGTTGTTGAGGTGACGTAGGGCTTGTAAAGCCTGTTCATGTTCTATAAACTCCACAAAGCCGTATCCTAGAGATTTACCCATCACCTGACCCCGAATAGGCTTCTTATCATACATCACACGACACTGTAGGTACATATATACAAAGAAATAGACAATAAGGAACATGAATTTGTTATATGAAAAAGTTATTCCATAATTAAACCTATATGGTTTTCTTTCTTCTGCTGAACACAAAAGAACATATTTTGAAGAATATGGGTAACCAAAAAGTTGATGGGCCTCATTGACTTCCATAGTATGGAAAAACATATACCATGGAAGTCAACGGGGCCCATCAACTGTTTGGTTACCGACATTCTTCAAAATATCTTCTTTGGTGTTCACCAGAAATTCATATAGGTTTGGAACAACTTGAGGTTAGATAAATGATGACAAAAGTTTCATTTATGGGGGAACTATCCCTTTAACCATACAAGCCTTTCTCCAAACCCAACATCTTGTTTGCTTTTAATAATTAATGTCTATATGCATGGTGAGAAGCAATTCGAAGAGACAAAACTTGAAAAGACAAATTTATTAAAGGTTTTTAACATTTATCTTTCTGACATGCAAAATGATAGGCAGAGGGAGATATTCTATCTGGCTAAGCTTAGGGTTGTCACAGAGACTGGGTAATTTCAGTGATATCTGTCAGGTCGTAAGGACATTTTGCGTGTGACATTCCTCAAAATGTAAATAAACAGCCCCTTAAACCTATGGGCAATCAAGAGGTTGTAGGTTAGAACCCAGCAAAAGCTTCTCTATGAACCATTGTGCCCTAAGACTTTTTAGGAGGACTGTTCCTGAAAAGTCAGCTATATGACTACAAACAAACTAGACAGTGAAACCTCCTGATCACACCCAAATAACATAGTCCTGCCCTCTAGTGTTACCAGGAAGAACTGCAAGAAGACGTCTCTTCAACATTGCTTATAATTTTGGTTTGCTGTTAGTTGGTTTTTAAAAGGATTAATAACACTTTAATAAAACTATTTGAAAGTGTGTGCATTACCTCAGTGATGCGGACGCCTTTACCACCAGCAGCGGAGAGGCAGAGTTTGCGAAATTTAGGCTGATTGACGCTCAAAGGCAGGTTATGGACACGCAGCCGTGTTTTAGACACATACACATTAACGTCCCTTAACTTTGCCCTTTTCAGCTCATCAAACTGACAACACACAAACACAGACAAAAAACAACAATCGTTAATCAGAAAACATACATAAAAATACTTTTTTGCCCCCTTTACACCTGGCATGATCATATGGCAGATACCTTTTTTATCTACCACAGTGACAGAAAGCATCTTGAAATCAATGCTTTTATTATTTTTATTTTTGATTGACAGCAAAACTGTTAATGCAACGTAACATATGAAAGCGCCATGTCCCATGTAGTGAGGGAAAGTGCAATCAGATGTCTAAAGGATAAAAATGTATAATTAATGTTAATGCTAGAATTATTTTTTTAATTCCTGAATATGAGGGAATATGAGGGGAAAAAACTGCAATATTGATTTGGATGTATTCAGCAGCGTTGCTGTTAACAGACTATTGAGAATAATTGTTGGTAACTGAAATAAAGCTGAAATAAAATAAAATACAAATATTAGATGAAAAACTTACACAAATGTAAGCTGAAATACTGAAATTACAAAACATAAAATTCAAATAAACATTTATCGAAGCTTTATAGAAATACTTCACACAAAAACTAATACAAATTATAAAAAAAAACAATTCTATGCACTCACTCTTTTTCTCTTGGCCATGTCACCTTCTGAAAGTCCCTCTGCTGCCTTGGATCCAGGACGAATCACTAGATAAAGTTCAAGAGGTAACAAGTTAATCCAGGTGCACATGTTAGTTTTGGACCCTGTTAACACCTAGTATTAAAATGCGTTATGGTCGATCAGATCAAAAGTAGATGAGGGAGACATTCCAGTTTAAACATGGTGTTTTAATCCCGTATTTTTTGTCCACTTTCAACCACTTCTGTCCTGATATTTTTGAGCTGAGGGTCTATGAGCAGGTAAATGTTTGGGCCTTTTCAGATCTTTCAATCTAATGGACAAAATAAGCTCGCCACGATTTACATATGAACGCAAAAGGAGATGACGGAAAAAACATACGGAGAGCAGCAGCTTTCGTTTCTACTCTGTTCGCAGAAAAACCAGTTAGAAACCAGAGAACACTGTGCTTGCTAGTGTTATTCATCTTCAAATCAAACTTGGGTCTCCAGCTGACAAAGTTTAAATCCTGGCAAGTGAGCGCACTTCCCATAATCTTTACACATTAAAGCCTTGTCCACACGGACACTGGTATTTTTATAACCGTGACTTTTGTTACGCGGTTCGGCAGTTCATCCACACGGAAACGCAGTATCAGATCACTGAAACTGAACATTTTTGAAAACCCCTACCAGGGTTTTTTGCCTTGCGACGTCAGAGTGTGCGCCATTATCCGCTGTGTTTGACGTCAGATTGTGCGCCGTTATCCGCCTACCGGAACCGGTAATAACTTTTTGTTAGGCTTCTGATTGGCCAACGTGGCTTTACGGTTAGGGTTATATCGCCGCCTGCTGGTGTGGCATACTCTTGACAGCGCTTGATAGCGTGTTTTTGAGTTTTCATGTAGACAGAGATTTTTTTTAAACTGAGCATGTGTGGACGGGATTTTTTTTTTTAAACGCAGGAGGTTAAACACTCTGGTTATAAAAATACCCGTGTCCGTGTGAACAAGGCCTAAGTCAGTGGGCAGAGAGTAAGCGGTCTTTTGTGGCTGATTGAACGCATTCGACCACATGACTATCTACACTACAAAAGCAATTCGGTCAAATTCGTTTTCTACTACCCTTGGAGGAGGTCGAAAGTGGACAAGCTCAAAACATGTTAGATCCCGTTTACACCTGTATTTAGTGACGACCACTTGTGATCATATTGACGAAAACGTTTTTTAATACCAGGTGTAAACAGCTGCTATTGCCGAATTAAAACGAAGCTCTGTTAATGGTCAGTTGACTGGCAGCATTGTGTGACTGGCTTTACTTACAGCCCTCTCTGGCGAGGTAAAGGTTCCTGGTGCCTGTGTGGGTTTTCACTTTCTTGTCCTTTAATTTTGCCGCAGCTTCTCGGTTTACGGCTGGCAAAATGTTCAATCTCCTGCCATCAACCCTAATGCCACCAAACTGAAATACACATATGCATCAGCACAACGATCCTATGTTTACTGGTATAATATGTTGTAGATATAAGAACAGCAACTCTTTTACTAGAGCTGCAGGACAGTGAACTCACCTCTTTATCATCTTGAGCAGCAGCAATACATTTCTCTGCCGCTTCTTTACTTTTGAACTGAGCAAAAGCACAACCTAGAAAGACATGTAGAGACAGAATTACTATGAATAATATACTTTAATTCCATACAGGCCAAGGTTTTGGTGATTGAAAATACCTTTTGAATGTCCAGTGTCTGAGTTCATCACCACACGTACGTATTTTAGCTCGCCAAACTGCAACAAAGCTTCCTCCAAACCCTCTTCATCTGTGTCAAAGGACAGATTTCTGACAGAACCCAAAATGAAACGAAGATATAACAATGAAAACATGAATTCCTGTTTAAACAATTGTTTATATACAGCACTGCTTTGTAGTTTGATAAAAAAATGTTCGACTAGTTAAAAAAACAAAAAAAAACATCTATACAACAGAACTTCCTTATATGATTCTCACCTGATGAAGATAGTTCTTCCTTCAATCACATCTGAAGAAAGAGGGTCTCTCTTCTTCTTTGGAAGAGCTGTGGATAGAGATTTACAGAGAGTCAGTGTTGACGGACACATTACATGCATGATACGACATACACGCGTTTCACACGATCCGTGTGTGGTACGTATGCGGTGCATAAGCAGCACAGGCTCGTTGTGCTTTCACATACGACACGTCCGCAGCGCACAAATGGTCCACGGCTGTATACCACAAATACAATGTATCCATTATTTTTATTTCAAATTCAAGCATTGTTACTGAAAATGCTTTTTTCAGGATTGTAAAAAAAAATGTTTTACACACTAGTTATACAATATTTCAAGCATTCACGTTTTAAGTGCACTAAATTTAAACAATGTATTCAATTCATTACATCTTTATAGATTTATATATTAAGTTGTTTAAGCAAGTGGTAAAACATTTGAACATATACGAACTATAAAATGTTATCCCAGTTCTTCTATGATAATATTAATAATATTTGTAACAGAAATAACGATAATGTGTGGTTGAAAAGCGGTTTCATTCTTATTCCTGACAACTGCTCTCTCTGGCTCAGCGGCAGTTTGAATGTTCGGGTGTGATTTTGCCCATTTTAATAGACACAGGCGAATCGTTGTCTTTAAGAATGAGATTGTGTGGGTGTTTGAATTTGAGATCGCAATCTTTTAACGATTAATCGTGCAGCTCTAGTTACAAGGTAGTATCAAATCACTTTAAATTAAAACTTACAAATGACAAAAACAGCCAACTCTCATGCTTTTTCTTTTGTATTTAAATAATTATACAAGAAAGCCTGCGGGTCATAGAAAAACTTTGGTTTTCCATCTCCACAAAGACACGAGTGCCATCCATTATGCCGCCTTGTTTATCTAAATGTGAGGTAAGGTATACTTTTCCTTGCTTTACTCTGGGTAAAAAGCCATGTGTTGACTGTGAAACACAGTAGACTTTAATTATATGCATTTATGGTGAAATTACTTAATTTTCATGTCAATACATGTTCATTTTGGCCACAAATAATGCATTGTTACAGCAAAAGTAGACTTTGTGCGGAAACGATCACTGCACTGCTGCATATATACATGATCCTGGAACGCATTGCCGGGGCAGTGTGAATGCTCTAACCTGTTAAACATGGGCAAAAAACAATTGGTATTGCATACGGATTGTGTGAAATGGGCCTTAAGGGTTTTTTTTTCTATGAATAAATGAATCATAGTCACTTTTTTCCTTATTGTCCTCTTCGTAATCATCGTCGTCGTCATCATTGTCGTCGTCGTCGTCGTCATCATCATCATCATCGTCATCTTTAGGTTCTCTGGCATCACTATCTGTCTGCTCAGATTCATTTTCTGCATTGTCGTCATCCTCTGAATCGTCCTCTTCCTCTGACTCGGAGTCATCCTTCTCTTCCAGTGATACAGACCTTAACACGAGAGACCTCGTTTTAAATTTAAGGAATTCACCTAAACACACATCATCAGTTCAGTTACATTTCCAGTACTTACTTTTTCTTGGCACCTTCATTCCCATCAGTTCCTGGATCCACTTCAGAATCCACATTCTCTTCTTTGATAGTTCCTGCAAGATATCCAGATACACTTCGCTACAAAAATCTAGACAGTAGATGCACTTTCAAAGCTTTTTACAACCACATAAATAAATAATAATGCAGTGAAAATGACAAAAATTACCAGGCGCTAAAGCTGATTGGGTGGCGAGATACTTGTCCTTTGGAACTGCCCAATCCACAGCCACCTGTCTGTCTGTGAGGGACGAATAAGACATTTTTTTTTAGCATAGATTGTTTTGAAATTTCATTAAAGTTAATATGACATTAATAATAACAATTTAAATCATTTTATGTCATGGAAGTTTGCTGAAGCACTCTGCAATAGTGTGTTCAGTGTTGAGAAAGACTCACCTTTGATCTCCTTCAGGTTCATCGCAGCAAGAGCTTTTCCAGCTTCTGACATGTTCTTAAACTGGACAAACGCAAAACCTCGCTTCTTCCCATCTGCACAAACATGATGTCATAAAAACTAACCAAGGTGGATGGCCGTATGAAAAAACATCATGTAAAGAGACTATAAGAGATGCGTTTAAAAGTCAGATGCACATGTTGGTCAAAGTTTTACCTGATTTTAAGGGAATCTTGGTCTCAAGCACAGTTCCAAACTTGGAGAAGATCTGCTTCAAATCGTCTTCTTCACACTGCACATAAACCGCATAAGTGTAAGAGCCCATGTCAAATCTAAGCATTGTTACTTTAAACAACAGAATTAAGTCAACTTACCTTAAAACTGAGATTTCTGATGATCAGCCGAGCTTTCAATTTTGTTTTTTTTATGCCTGTAAACTTTTCAGGACTTTTGGTTTCTGCTGATTTCTTAGGTTTCTCTGTATCTTCTGAATCTGCATGAACAGTTCAGAGTCATTTCTTCCAAACCAAAAAAAATTAAAGTACAAACAATCCATGATAAATAAAATATATGCATGAAGATCTAACCTTCTTCTATTTTCACTTTCTTCTTCTTTTTCTTATCATCGGGTTTTCTCTTGGCTACGGTAACAAATATATTCTGCTTCTCATATTCCTTGACTTCTTTTATTGCCCGTTGTGCATCTTCTTCCATAGAGAACGTCACATATCCAAAACCACGACATTTCTTAGTTTCTGTAAACAGGACGAACACAGCACACATACAAACCGTTCATATTTCATATAAATGCTGTTATACACATGATCTCACCTAGCTGGAAAATATCAGGATTTAATTAGTAAAATCTTACCTCTATCACTGACAACGAAGCAGTTCTTCAGTGGTCCTATTTCAGAGAATACTGCTGTCAGACGATCATTGGTGGCTGTTTCAGGTAATCTCCTGACAAATAAAGTAACTGCAGGCATTTTCACCACGAGTTCAGCTCGACTGTTCTTCACAGCCAGCAAACGTCTCTAAAAACAACAATGTTTATTACTGATTATGGCAAATACTGTTACATACAAGTCGCGATAATATTAAGGAGGTCGTTTAAATGACTCAAGACAGTGCAGTAATAATAATGCACGTTTCTCACATGTTTCTGCTGTACAGGAAGTTGTCAAGAGATGGAGATTCTTCGTTTGGTTTGGACGTCGTCAAGGTAGCACTGCACGAAAAGGAACAATATTGACTCCTGCTGGTCTGGAGAAGCATGTAGGGGTAGGTCTTTTCCATTTTTTTTTTTTTACAGTCTGGTCTTTTCCTAGCACAAAATCACCATAACGACCAAGCGACTCGTGTGTATTTATATCATAGCATAGCTTTGTGTGAGGAAACAACCGTTACTCACGATAATAGTCAGGGAAGGCAAGAACCGGTCGAGTCCGATTCGTGAACAAATCATGCAAATCAGCATTCTGATTATGATCAACTTATTGATTGAAAACATTTTCTTTTCTTTCTTTTTTTATAAATTGCCAGTCACATTACAACTAATAAATATGACAATAGTCCAACGTATATAAAAATATTGAACAAATATACTACAACAAATAGGAAAAGAAAATATACAGTATAATTAAATAATAATACAAGTAAAAAAGAAAGAAAATAATATAAACAGAAAATTTGAAAACATTTTCATTGAGCCATTTTTATGGCGGTTTTGCGTCACGTTTGATGTTGACATTTTTAATAAGGCCTGACGTTAGGCCCATTTATTGCGTAGAAAAGATTTGGTTTCACGGAAGAAACAAATAGCCAAAAAGTTGAAGTTTGTGAACACACAAGCTGTGCAGAGCATAACAGAACTTTATTGGTGAATTTACGGTATGTAGGCTATTTAATTGTGTTTTATTGTTTCTTTTAACAGCGATAGCGAGATTTTTTTGTCAAATTATGAATAGTTTTTAAAAACAAGGCAATGAGGTTTAATGTGCACCTGCTGACGGTACTTTTTTACTTTACAAATAAATAAATGTATATTTAATTCTTATTTAATAATCAAAATCAGTATTTAGTAATCAATAATAACATTTCTATCATTATGGCTGCTAGAGTCTCTCAAAATGTCTCTCTTTTCATGGTCACTAGAGGGCGACTTTATCCACTAAAATCTTTCAATATCTTTTTGGCATTATTTTTCACAGTTTACAATGCATTAAACAATGATTGTCTTTAACCAATCGTAATGGTAAACAAAAAAAAATCTTTTTTTTATAAAATATTTATACAAATGAATATATAATATAATATTTAATTTCATATTTTATATTTAATATAAAATTAAATACAATATTATTTTTTATAATTTTGCTAATAACTTTGTATTGTACAGAAATAAACTTTCCGCATTTGAGCAGTTCAAATATGAATCTGACTGACATAATATTCTATTTCCTTTATGATTTACACAATGTCAGTGAAATCATTGCTCTGAAGTAGAAATCTTGGTATTTTCTGCAAATCCAGTGCACAACATTGGTGAATGTTTACAGGTGAGACCCAGTCGAAAAGTTTTGCTTAAACACTATTGTACTTTTATATAGCTCAAAATAAAAGTGAGACTGATTTTCAGAAGGGTTTGCTTGGTTCAACTGATCAGACATCATGTTTTGTCCTCTCGTTCTCCTTTGTCACCCTTTCCTGTAATCCCGTCTGGTAAGTGTCTTAGCCCAAAGTGTGGGTTAATCTACCTCCGAAGGACAATTACCAAGATGTGTGTAGTGTGTTCATACAAAGACACGTAATGATTGTATCACCTCTGATATGGGGGTGACAAATGCATGCGGATGACTCAGTGTGTGAATGATGGGGAGGGAGCGTGTCTTTTATCTGACCTTGGAGAACAGAAGCAATAGAGAAGAGAGAGAATTCACCAGCAGAGCAAACATTGTTCTGTCACAGGCAAAAGAGAATTCGAGAGAGTGAGAGAGACAACAGTGGCATAGCAGAAACTGGCTTCAGGCCCAGATACACAAGCACCCAGGAGAAAGGATCTTACAGCACGGTATGTGATGAGTGTGTTTGTGTGTTTTGTCCTGATACTTACCCACTGTAAATTCAACTCGATAGTGTGCATTATTTATTTGAGATCCACAAAATGATGCTCGAACGGGACGTTTGTAAAGAACAGGGAATGTTCTCATAACTTTGGCTAAGGTTTTGGCAAGATTCTGTCAAAATTGTGAATAAACATTCATCCAGTAATGTTAATGGGACGTTTGTTCAAAGTTTTCTGGTGTTTAATGACGTTCTCAAAATGTTAGCCCAAAAAAGTTATTCTTCATGGAACGTTTTTTTCTGAAACGTTTTTGTTGGATGTTCATCTAATGTTTTTTTTTAAAGTTACTTCTTACTTGTTCCAGAACATTCAGAGGACATTCAAAGGTAATGTTCCCATAATTTTTGAACAATTATAAAACAAAACGTTCCCTTAATGTTTTCTCTAAAGTTTACATGACCAAGAAAAAAAGGTTTATGTTTTAAACAATAAGAGAACACTCAGAAATTACTTCTTTATAACCTAATACATTAGCAAAACATTCTTAGAATATATTTTTGTTCGCTAGGGTTATTGTATTTCATCTGTTTAAAGTGAGATTCATATTTGCACTTGATAATGATATCATAAATCAGGCTGTGATAAGAAAGACTTAATCAAGTCATCGTTGTGCAGGTGCTTGTGAGTTAGTATGGTAGAGAGAGAGTACTAATGGTGAACAGGCACAAAATACTTTTACATTTCACAACACAACCAGAATAATATGTTGCAGAAATATACTGAAAATGACAGATTTTGTTTAGTTAGCCTCAAAACATCACTATAACGTTTTGTGTGATCCAAAGTCAGATTAAATTGCAACATTCGTAAAACTTATTGTTTTGTTTAGGTTTTAGAGAACCTACTGTAAAGCTGGACAGAAACCTTTCGAACGGATGCACGTTTGTCATGCACATTCGCTTTGAACGTGGCTCAACCATTCAGAAAACTGTTTTTTAATGTCAAACAAGTTATAACTTAAGAAAACACTGCAATTTCTGCAACATCATCATGAAAATATTTGCTGTTAACAAAACGTGACGTGTTGTATAAGTCTTCATTAAATCAATTTATTAGGCTACTTATTGAATTCCTGACCAGAATGTAAAATGATTCATAATAATATAATAAATAATTGACATAATAACAATGGATCATTTAAAAAAATAGCCAAAAACTAACAAGAGAAAGTTCTTACTTATAGTGATGTGTTTTAGAGTTACGCCAAAGGATGAGAACGGGCTCTAAATGCATATGGATTATATCTATTGCACAGTAAAATACAGCACTATGTTCTGTGAAAAATGAAGAATATTCCAATTTTTATGTGAAAATTCAACAGCTATTGTTTTAGTCACCAAGTGAACTCTGAATGACAATATAACGTTGGGTAAGCATGTTTATGTAGCCTATAGATTCATTTGTTTTATATTCATGTGATAGTGAGTTGCATTTGATCAGAGCAGGATACACTACTCCTGGTGTTGGCGCAGATTCGCTGTGTCCTGTAAATGGGTCATACACTCTCTCTCTAGTGGTGCTTTAGAATAAGGCTGTAGGAGGGGAAGTTATGAAAGATATTTTTCTTGCGTGGATTTGAATGACATGGACAGTTCATTGCAGAGCCAAACACAACAGCGTATATCTATCTATATATCTATCTATCTGAATGATATCTTAAACTTTAAGGCAGTGTTCCTGAATGATCTTGTCAGAGGACAGCAGAGTGGGACAGTGGGATATTGTATGAACCCACGCTGGCAGTGTGTTGAGTGGGAGAGTTCAGACTCATGTGATGTGGGACTGATGAATATAAATGATTCATTTTCACTGACTGAATCAACCCACCAGTACAAACAGCGGAGCATTTTTATTGCCACTGTTGGTAGACAGAAACTTTCCTTATAAGCTGCCTAGTTTATCTGTGTATCTGTTCCGATAACCATAGAAAACAGGGTGGATGAAGGAAGATATAGTGTATGATAGGTAGGCTACTTGCTGAAGCACTACAATATAAAATTCATATTGTTTGTGCATCACATTTCAGAAGAATGTTGAATGCTAATGCTCTGAGCTAAAGAACAATCGTGACTATACAGCATTGCATAATGAACACATTTTGATCACTGGGACACATGCGTCAGTTGATTACAGATCCATAAAATTAGCCATCAAACCATTTATTCCAAATAAAACCTTTGAGACGTACATAATTAGCCATTAATCTACTAGCAGTCCCATAACGTCTTCGTCATTGTTTATTATTGTATGGGCGTTTCCTGGGACAAAGACCATATGGAAGGTGCCAGCGGGGGGTATGAGACACTGGAGGGGGGAGGGGGGGATGTTTACACAGGCGTCTTATAGGTCACCCGACATAAATCTGCATATGCTATTAGTGTCATTAACAACTCACAACTTGCTATTAATAATGAGAATTAGCTGATTCGGTGAGACAAAAGAATCTGATCCGAAATGGTATAACCTTCACACTCCCAAAAAGCAAAACGTAACAACATTCCATGTGAAGCGCTTTGAGTGCCTAGAAAAGCGCTATATAAATGTAATGAATTATTATTATTATTATTATTATTATTATTATAACATACAACGCAATCAGTGTAGTCTTTCTTCATAATTAATTAAATGCATTAAATCTGACAGCATTAGAATAAAAAAATAAATAGTTTACAGTAATAGTCTGTATTTTAAAGCTCTATGTCATAGAAGTGATAAAAGTGAGAGCCTATGAAAGAGAACAATAATCTTCTATTTGTTTCTGTTGCATGTGCTGTGTGTGTGACTATTTAGTTTTCAGATTCCTGTTTTGATTTGTCAACACAGACAGGATTGGACACTCTGACTGCTTTTTCAGGTTGTCTGCTGATGTGGACAATTCATATTTTATCCTCATCTCTACATAAACCAGACAGAAGTATTCTTTCCCTACATGGGTTTCTTTACGTCAGCACCCTTTCTCAACCACTCCAATTAGCCTGCTTTAACCCCGTCTGTGGCCGTATCCTCTACAATCCAGAAGCATTAATCATTCCACGAGGCCGATTCCTTTGTCTGTCAGCTTCAGA